TATATATATATATATATATATATACGGCCTAGTATACGGTTCATTTTATATTTTCCATCTGTAAATCCATAAGTAAAGTAAATAAATAAAATATACCTGTCATAAGTTCTATAAATATAAAAGGGATTTCATGCATTAACTGTTTCGTTACTTCTTTTAAGGAGAAAATCCATTATTAATTTCTGTGCTTCACGTATTTATCAGGTTCCTTTCTATAACGGATCGGTTGAAAGTTCTCTATTTCCATTTATTCGGTTACGTTTAATTTGCAGATTTTATGAACGCATAAATTTAAAATGTTGGAACACATCTCTAACAGATCCATTTTAGAAAGATACTTATTATTCATATTATTTTTAACTAAGTGACTACTACCTAGTAAGAAATTACCCTATAAAAATTAGTTACAGGTCACTTAGCGGAAGAAGTCATGTTAGTCAATTGCGCTCTTATTTCAAATGATGTGTATACAATTATTCTTCTTTATGTCATAAAATTAAGTTTACTTTCAGTTTTTCATCATTTCACTTGAATAAAGTCACTGAACTGCAAAAAGAATGATGCCTTTCCTTTGCATCACTTGTCCTGAAAAGTCTCTTTCGCAGACTTTAATTTAATGAAATTTTAATGAGCAAGGAAATTGGACAAATAAATTGCCTATTTGCACGATATTGAGCATATATTAAAAATGAATTAAGCCCTTAATTTATTTTTATTTCATTAACATTTTTATATTACGTGTATTTTAACCAGTTTCAACTTTTTTTCTAAGATCCTATTACACATTTATCATTCGTTATAGAACCTGATTTTTTAATTCATCATTAACAAAAAGTAATTGCAAAAGTTTTAATTGTTTTTTTTTTTTTTACTTACTGTTCCGCTCTTTATAACCCGACTATTTTTTCAATTTAGTTGAAATTCATCAAATTTTTTGTCACAATAAAATAACTTTCCTTGTGTAATTATGAAAAAAAATCGGGTATTCATTTCAAAACTTTAATTAAAATTATTGATTCTAAAGATTTGGAATAAATTTTGGAACATAATTATAAAACTTAAAAAGAATAAGGATACGTTATTAATACTTGAATAAACATTTTTATTTTAAATATTAAAATAATTGTAGGTATAAGTAATTTCACATATAAATTTTTTAATTAAAAAAATATCGTCATACATAATGTCAAACCAGTTTTAAGTATTATAATAGAATTTGTAATACAATGCAAATTCATTTAATTTATTTTTAATTTAAATTATAACCTAAATTTTTATTCTATCCTAAATTTTAATTATATCCTAAATTATAATTGATTTCATTTTTAATGACTTCTCAGCCTTTAATGACATTATATACAAATATACTACATTTATAACAATTTCTGAGAATTTGGAGATGATTTCTAATTGTTATGGAATTAAATTTTGATAAACTAAGAATTAAAAAGAATAATTTTACCTCTTAACTTTTAGTATAATCTTCCAAAACCTAGTACGTTTAGAAAGCTTTTAAATTTCTGAAGAACACATTTTTTGAAACATCATTTGCCGATATATTTTTTAATTTCAATCATATTAAAATAATGAAGACAGAAGATATCCACTATAAAAATGCAAACGACTAAATGCTTGTAAAACTCATTGAAATAATAACTGTTAATGATTATCGTTTGGCAATTAAGTTGTTGCTTGTTTCAATAATTTAAATTATTTTAAGAAAGTAAGGACTTGTTGTATATATTTCAGCAAGAAATTTTATTGTCTTTTTCATATAATGTGGATAATTTAAGTGAAGGTAAAATTAGGGGCAACAACGTGACGTCACGGAACAAAAAGACACTAATGCAGAATTGAAGTCAAACGATTTCAAAAAATGTTTTATAAATATAATCAACTTACCTAATCAGCATTTATTATTAGACATTATAAATCTAAGTACTAAACTTTACATTTCAATTGGCATTGCAAGAATTAAATTAAGACATAAAATTATGAATAATTCTATGTTTTGAAGGAGAAATTAAGTTCACGTGAAAAGTCATTTCAATCAGATAATAAGTGATGCATAGTATTTTGAAAGAAATTCATTTACTGTTAAAGTAAGTAACTTCTTGTAATTTTTTTATGTCAAATAATGTAATTTTCTAGTACAGTTTGCAGTAATATTTTTGTAACTGAATGTTAAATTTTCCCTTATTACTTCCTGTTTTTCTGAGAAACTTTTTTAAAATTATTTTTAACTTATTTTTAAATACATTTGCTTATTTATAAACGGATTTCAGCAGTAAACGGATAATTTTTTTATTACATTAATTATGCTCTAAATCAAAATTTCATGAAAATTTCTTTTTGTGATAAACTGAAAGATCATTGTTACAATTCAAATAATAAATAATTATTTCAATTCTTTTTTTTTTCAGTGGTGTTATTTTATTAGTTTATTTTTTCTCGCGCATGTGAAGTTTACATCATCTCAAACAACAACTTTCCCCCCAAGTACCGACTTCACTACGACGGAAAATTCTAATACTTTTGCCACAACTTTTCCGAGTGTAGCGTCATTTGCAACTGAAGATGAGAGTACCACTTTGACAGCAGCAGACTCAGCACTTCCTACTTCAACTGTTACGAACGAAAACAATTTAAACGATGCCACAACTGAGCAGCCAGCTTTTGGAAGATTTGAATCTCAGAGAAGTCGGCCATCTGCAAATCAGGAAATTGAGCAGCCTCAAGTATGTAATAAAATTTAATTTAAAAACTACACATTTGATTCAAAGATATTTTGGACGTCGATGCATGCTTATACAATGTTTTTTACTGCTAACATATTTACTGGTGTGTGACTTAAAGTTGAAATATCCAATAACAGCAATATTTAATTGATTTACGCTTTTTAAGAGCGTATTTACTTTTAAAAAAATATTCATAAAAAGTGATTGATGGCAACTGTTGCAGCCCGAGCCCCCTAGCGGCAGAACACGAATAGGACTAGATAGCTTTTAAAAACAGTAGATGTAAAAAAACGAGGAACGCGCTTTGCCGCTCAAACAACTGACAAAAACGTTTCATCATCTCTTAGCTATTATATATCATATTTCATTAATGTAAATTCATCATCGTCATATTTGTTAATCAATCCAATAAATATTTTTATAGTTACTCAAATTGGCGGTCATTATAGATCTTTATTATTAAATATATTGTATGTCAATCCCGGAAACAAAAGAGTAAGGTTAGTCTTACTGCTTCGAATCATTAAGAACAGCACAGCAAGGTAAGTGATACCTAACCTTGTTATATTTTGGAAGTAGTGACGCTTTCAGTATACAACAGCAACCATTCAAGAATTATTTTTTATGATTCGTGTTTTTCAGAATTACGACGTATATGAATTCATAAATCAAAATAATATGAATAAAGCGCAAATAACGGTACAAAAATGAACAAATAAAGGTACAGAAGATAATCCATGCTGCCACTCCCGCATAGATTTGCGTCCTAACTCCCATTCAAAATAAGCTGACAGAAATGGAATCTGCTTTATTCACGACGTTTTTCTTCACTCATAAGTACCAAAAAAAAAAACTCGTTAAATTCGTTAAAGTTTTTTTCCTAAGAAATTATTCAGTAATAGTGTGGAAAGTTAATTCTTAAAATTACTTTACAAATTTGCACCTATTATTTCAAAGTTGACTGAACTTAGTTTAACATGAAACTTTTATAAAATTAAATGCATCTTATTACAAAATTAAATAGAGTCTATTTACTGTTTAATAATTGTAAAACGGTTATTAAACAATGTATCATTTTATTTAGGTTTATCATAAAATTTTCATGACGAGGCAATGAGGCTTACTTTATAATAAAGGAATACTGCTTTTAACTTTAACCCTTTACTTGAGAATAATAATAAAATTAAAGAACGAAATGATGGTAGAAAAAATAGTTCTAAGAATGAATGATAAAGAAATATTTTGCAGGTAAAACTTACCTTTATTATTCTTTTTTAACCCAATGCTGATTACAAAAATATACGGAACTTCTATCCAAGGATTCTATGATGGGTTTTTTTTGGCCAATAACAATGCACCTATAACAGTGAGAAACGGTTTTAATCCGTTATTTTTTTGTGTTATGATAAAGATACAAAGTTGCTGCAACAGAATCGATTGAAAATGCAGCAACAGAGTCTTCAGTTTTATAATTTTCTTTTTTTAGCGTTAACTGAGCATCAAAAAACATATATATTTTTTGGAACGCAGATATTGAACAAATAAATGCCTATTGACGCGATATTGAGCATATATTGAAAGAAGAATTCAGCCCTAAATTAATTCTATTTCATTAACATTTTGTTATTAAATGCATTTTAACCAGTCGCAACTTCTTTTCTAAAATTGACATACGCATTTATCATACATCATTTTAATTTCTTTTCCTTACTTTTGGAAAATACTTCAAAAAAAAACTTTAACATGACTGCTTCATTTATTTCAAGTAATTTTTGCAAATATTTAAATTATGATTTTTTAAAGGATTCGACAAATGGCAACAATGGGCAGAGTGAGGAAAAAAATATCGCATGGAAATTCACTCGTGGTGGCAACAGTCAAGATATCTGGTCGCGTCCATCCCAAACTAATGGGTATCCTCAATGGCAAAAGGAAGTATCACAACCAGCGCCTGTTCAAAATCCACAGCCTGTTCAAAATGCTGCAGGGGAAGCTAACAAAAATAACGAACAACAGTATGTTGTTTGGAAACCGGGGCAAAATAACCCACCACCTGGTTGGACCATAGGTAAGTATCTGTAAAGCTTTCATGTATGTCCTAAAATGCTTAAATAAATAATATTTACAAGCAATTATAGTTATGCATAACAATGGGCTCGCCCAGGTTTTCATGGTTTCTCGCCCAAGAACAATATTTTCATGGGGCACATTAGGACCCATAATCCTCATAGAACAATCCCTGACGTCTGTAAGCTACTTGAACATAGTTGCAGACCAGGTTCACACATTCATGGCAACAGTTTTTCCTGCGGGCGATGGTGCTTACCAACAGGATAATGCACCGTCTCATAAGGGTCGAATCGTCATGGATTGGTTCGAGAAACATTCCAGTGACTTTCAAGTCATGTCTTGGCCCCCAAATTCACCTGACCTTAATCTAATAGAGCATTTGTGGTCCTACTTGGAAAACCAAATTCGTGCTGCCACGCTACCCCCTCGCAATGTGAGGGAATTGCAGAACCAGTTGGTGCAGGGTGGTCATAATGTAATGGCTCTTCGGTGTATGTTGTAACGACTTAAGTGTAGAAATCAGCTAATCTACACAGATTATATAGATAAACTAGGCTGATCCGGTAAAGTGCCATAAAAATTGTTTCATTTCTCAAATTATCTAGTTAATCTGCAAATTACTTATATAGTTTGCACATTACTTACAAGGCACTAGTTAAAGTGAAAATAAAATCTTGTTGAAAGAGCAACAAAGTTTCTTCCTGCTTAAATTAACATAATGTTATTTATATATTTTTCGCTGTCTAAAACCATCAATAACTTTTTAAAAAAAATTAATTAAAAAATCAAATGGCTTAAAATATTATTACAGTAAATTAAAATATTATTAAATATTATTACTATTTTTTTATTTTTTTTTTCTAATCTGAAGAATCAAGTCAATGGAATCAAACAATCAACAAATTAATTGACAGAATGAGAGAAACAGACTTTCAAACTTGATAATAAAGGTTTCCAAATAACGATATGGAAAACATTAAAACGTAAATAGCCAAGGTGAATTTCGGGAAAAGCTTGATTCCGCACTTTAACGAATCACCCTAGCTAAACTGCAGATTAGCTGGGATATAAAATATGTACATATTTACGACTTGTGTGTTTTCGTGGTAACATATGAAATTTCGGCTATCTATCTAATGCCTAGTAATTGTATGGATTGGCGTTTTTTAGCAAACTATTATATCCGATGGTCATTTTATTCTTGGTCTAGGAAATGTGAGATATATTAAAAATTTCAGATTGAGTCGCGGTGGCTCAGTGGCTAGAGCATCAGCCTCTCAATGAGGTGGCCCATAATCGAATCCCAGAGGTGGCTGATGTAAAATATCCTTAGTAGTAGGCGGATCATGGATTAGAATCCCCTTGCCATCGGGCTAATCATGGGAGGATTTCGTATTTTTCCTCTCAATGTAAATCGAAGGCGGGTTAGTCCCATCAAAAAGTCCTCCGCGAAGCATAGTTTGTCTGAATGCTTGATCCAGGAGTTTCTCTGTCTTCTTGGTTGGGTTCAAAATTACAAGGCTACGGAGTTGAACATTGAATCTGGTTGGCTGTACAACGCCTTGTATAAAATGAAACAAAACATTTCAAACAGTACCGGATGATTCAATCAGTAAGGCAAATTTAACAATGATTTTGCGTTCTGGAATGCCGCATTTAATATATTTACGGAAACCTATATGTGTGTTAAATTGAAAATAATACATAAACTAAATTCGTATTTCTAATATTGAGATGAAATGCCACATTATAATACAATCGATAAACTACTTTTAATTCTTATTTTTTTTATGTATAATGCTTATACAATCGATTAGAGCTGCGATTAAAATCGATTAAGAAATTTTACAAATCTTTGCGAATAAAGAACTTTTCTATAATACAAATGTTTAAAGTTGCGATAATTTATAAAATTTTATTTATGCTAAATACGAGTGAAACACGTATTTTTAAGGAAAATAGCTTGTACAAGTAACTAATTATTGTCAGAAACTCTGGATTTATTCTAATCATCCTATATTGACATAACAATCAATTCGCCCAAACAGCTTAAATATTTTAAAAAATCCACAGCAATAATTTAGCTATTTATATTCTTGTTAAATGCTAATTATTTTTTAGAAGGTATCCCTGAAGGCTGGATAAATGCAGCTCCTGAAGGTGGAAATTGGGGTCCTCCTGACTCTTCACAAGGCGGAATTAATTCTGGTGGGTGGAATGCTGCTCAATGGACGAATGGCCAATCGTCTGTAAACGAAGATTCTCAAGCCGAGTATCAAGAAGATGAGAATTCCTCAAATGATAACGAAGCTTCTGGGTGGAATAATGCAGCTAATGGTGGATGGGTGGGTCCAGTAAATGATGCGGGTGGCTGGACAAATCCAGTCGCTCAACAAGAAAACGGAAATATCCCTCCTTCAACTGGGTGGGCTCCTCAAAATACTAATGCTCCTGTTCAAAACGGGGCATCTCCACAAAATTCAAATGCACCTGTACAAAATGGATGGGCAGCACCAAATCAAAATCCTGTTCCTCAAAATGGATGGCCGGCTCCAAACCAGAACCCTGTTCCTCCAAACGGTTGGGCAACAGTAGTTTCAAATAATCCTCCCCCTAATAGTTGGCCTTCTCAAGCTGTAAACGTTCCTACTCAAAATGGGTGGGCTCCTCCCGCTGCAAATGCTCAACCTCAAAATGGTTGGATACCTCCAGCACCTAATCCTCAAGCACAAAATGGATGGCCTCCTGGGTCCGGCGCTCCTCCCTCAAACCAATGGAAGACTCAAACAAACGCTCCAAATGCATGGAAACAAGCACAACCTGCAAATGCTGGGGCTGGTTGGACTCAATCTCAACAACCAGGTAATGTATGGCAAACACCACCTCAACAAGCAGGTCCTGCACCTCAAACACCCAAAGTACAACCTAATACTAATGTACAATGGAATCAAAATGCAGGAAATAGTTGGACTGGACCTCAAACTGCTGCAAAACCAAATGGAAACTCTGGAACATGGAATTCAATTCCAAGCGGAGCAACTACTCCGTGGAATAACGGACAGGCGAATGTTGAAGCCTGGAACAATGGAGGATCCTCCCCTGGTATACCAGACCCATCTCTCTCATGGAAGGTTTATAATGAAGACACTCAAACTATGGAAAATTTAGATGATAATTTGGGATGGAAAGTTGTAGGTGATGGGGGATCAAATGGTTGGAAACTGGTAGATGAAAATGGAAATGTTGAATGGAAAATTGAAAATATTAATGGCGAATGGAAAGTTACAAGTGCTGATGAAGTTCCTAAACAAACAAACGTTACTTCAAACAATACAGAAGTTTCAAATTCGACAACTTCTGCAAATGCTACAGCTGAATCATCGTCTACTACACCATCACCAGCTGGGGGTTGGGATGATGCTAAACAAGGCCGGTACATTGTTTGGAAATTCTCAGAGGATGGCAAAGGAGAAGCTCGAGTTTACAATGGTGGAAATTCAGATCCTGATGTGTGGACCATTGGCGACAATAATCAATATTGGAAAGAAGCAGTCGCTGCAAATGGAGCAAATAATGCAGGACCTTGGCCAACAAATACTAAGTCGGCTGGAACTTCTGGAAGCAGCAGTCAAAATAACAAAAATGGAAGTTGGAACTCGGGTAGAAGTCGACAAAATCCAAATAAGTCTCGTTCGGGGAAAGGTGGTGCTAACGGTAATACGCAGCAAAACAACAAATGGAAAAACCAAATAAGTGGCGGAACCTCTCAACCTAACAACGGAGGCTGGCAAACGGGTAACATTGCATCACCAAAACAGCAGCAAGGAAACAGTGTCGTTCCTCAAACTGGAACAGCATCAGTTGGGTGGCAAAATGGAAATAATGGTCCTCAAACTGGAAATCCTCAATGGCAATCAAATGCTCCACCAGCAACAGCCCACACAACTACTTGGAACAACAGAGGTTCAACTCAACAAGGAGTAGTAAGTTGGCAAAATCAACAGCCAGTAGGTGACTGGAGTGTAGGACAGAATCAAAACGCAGCACAAGCTGGTTGGCAACAAGGAGGAACTTCTGTAGCAGGTGCAGGGAAGAGTAACGTTTCAAATGATCAAAGAAGTAGGGCAAGGGGTAGGTCAAAGAACCGTGTACGAGGTGGTACTTCAAAAACTTGGAAACCAAGCAGCAATAACAATCAAAATGCTGGTGTCTCTACTGGAACGACATGGAGTAACGCTAACGGAGGAAATCCAAATACACAACCTTCCCCAAATCCTTGGAATACTCAGGCTCAAGGGGGCATTGTGAATGCGGGGAACGGATTATTAAGTGGATGGCCAATTAATAACAATGGAGGACAAAATGTGCCATATATTATAATTATTAAAACACCTCAAGTCATTACATCACCTGGCGATAATTCAAACCCATGGGCATCACAAGGGAATAACAAGCAGAAGAGTTCCCGAATTGGAGCAAGTAAGCCTCAAGCAAATCGTCGTGAAAACGGAAGTTGGGAAATGAACAGAGCTGGAAGTAGTGGCTGGCAATGGAATCCTCAAGGAAATAGAGATGGCTGGAAATGGAATGAAGGGTGGATGGGATCAGGTGGTGGATTCGGTGGGTGGGTAAAAGATGGAAATTCAATGTACACTAGCTGGAAACCAACGAAAAACAATGGCAATTCTGGGTCTTCTCAAAGACCAGCCAATAAGAGAGTGGGTGCAAACGGAAGCAAGAAAAACGGTAGTAAAATGGTGTTTGTTTTTGGTTCAAAGAAAGGGTCTAAAGGAAATAAAAATCAACCAACTTCTGGGCGATCAGGGAAAGGTAAACAGGTTATAATTATAGACTACACAACAGGCAAGAAAGTCCCAAAAACTGATGAAAATATGAAGAAGGATATCGAAACAGTAATTCAAGCTCTTAAGTCTGCAAGACCGACTGGCCTAAAAGGAAGCGCTTCGGTAGATACTAAATCTAGTACTCAAAACTAACAGCAATGGTCGTCATGAACATACCGAATTATTTATTCATTTACGAAGGTATTCTTGACCTGTATAGCTTTTCCAAATGGTATACGGAACATTGAAAAATTTTCCCTCTCTAGGAGTTTTCATTTTCATTGGGATTTGCCCTACATGTAAAAATCATTTACAATTTTTCATTGGTAGTTTGCTTCATATTAATTCTCATTAAATACTTTCCTTCATCATGGCTTCATGTTCTGATTGCAAGATCATTTTATTGGTGACGAGTACTAATATTGCTTACCTTGTTGAAGATAAGTTTAAAAGAATTATTCGTTTAGAAATATGCTTAATGTGTATATCTCTAAGTAAAGCCATCTATCTGGTTTACTAGCTGATTACAAAACAGTAAACGTCTATCAGATGTATGGAAGCAGTACTCAGAACGCAACAACAATTTCTACTATTTTTGTATTTTAATTATGTAAATAAAGCATTTTTACAAGGTGGAACGTTTAATTACTTTGTTGTAGTGCTACATAACTCAAAATTAAAAATTTTCAGAAATTTTGCAATTTTAATCTATTGAATTAATCTTCTTTAATTTAAATATCTTTAATTACTAAAAAAGGCCTCGGAAATGGTTTAGTAATTTCATGATAATACTTTGTACTGATAATATTGATCAGATTTTCATTTTTTATTTCAGATCAGTACTAAAAACTTAATAAATAGTTCGTGAGGCACAAATTTAGAGTAATTGGTTCTAACAACCAATAACATCTAACTAATTAATTCTAAGTAAAAGATAAATTATGAAAACAAAAGCATAAATTAAATTTTTTTTTAGTTAAGCACATACTTTCTTGCGTATATGTATTTTTTATCTCAATAAATTATTCAAGAAAACGTTTTAAAAATTTGAGCCCATTACTGTCATTTTTGAGATATCTCTAGGAAGACAGCACAAAATTGTACTGCTTTCATAAGCATTAAGGACAAAATATAAGATTATAATTGTAATGTAATATATAATTATAATCTAATTGCAATCAAAATCTAAAAATAAATTAGAATAATATTAAAGTTAAATTCCGAAAAATGTAATTTAAAAAAGTTAGTCTTACATTTTTTTTTCTCTCGCACAACTAGTTTCACACAAATGTTGAAATTAAAACAACATTAAAAGGCGATTTCAATTGCTCTTCTAGCTAAATTATGGTAATTCGGAGAAAATTTTTCAAGTAGGGATTAACTTTGGTTTATTTTTAGGTTTAAAAGATCATAATTTTTTGAAAATGTTTGGTATATTCAGATTGGTTTCTGGTTTTTCAATATATAGACATTTCAATTTATAGACATTTCTATCTACGAAGTGTTATTTTAATTATTTAAATGAATCTTATTATTATAACATGGAAAATTGTTCATTCTACTAAAAGATTCGTAAGGTGTTTCGTCCATCTTTTTCTGGTGAAACTTTTTTTGCTATCTAAAATAATCTGCTATCTAATAAAATATCTAATTATAAAGTTAGGATTTCAATTTGAAAAAAAAGTACTTTATTGCAATTTTACAGAATTTTTAATGAAACGTTCCCAAATCTGAAAGACCTAAATCCATAAGATTCTGAAATAAATCAGGTAGAAAATGTCATTTTATAAGTTGTCCAGCCAGTTTGAAAAACATGTAAAACGTATTAAAAATTTCTCATCGCAACGCAGTGTCAGCTTCTTTTAACTTTCACTCAAAAATTCTGTAAACATTAAACGCATGAGTTTCAAATTTTAGACACTTATTTAATTACACTACAAACTATAAAAAATAAAAATAATTAACTTCTTAAAAGCAGAATAACCTTTTTTTAAAAATATGAATAAATTTAACAGTTTAAATCTTTTTAATAATATTATCGCTTAAAATTTTTAAATAATGACCCTTTTTTCAGTAAAGTTTTAAAATTACGTCATAACATGCTTAAACTTTAAGCAAAAAGAACGAAAACGGCAATTTCTCACTTAATACCGAGAAATCCTTTTCTCTTAATACCTTCAGCTGTAAATAACTATAAAGGACAGTCGTTTTTTTGGAAGTTTAGTTGTAGAATTAATAAGATTTTAAAATATCCGAAAAATTCTGAAAGCTTGAAAGTTTTAACTATCCATACATGAAATTAATTTCATATACAGCAATAATAACAATAATCTAACAAAACTGACTCAGAAAGCTCGCTTTATAACCTTTAAAAATCTTACTTTAGACAATTCAAATGATAAAATAATGAGAGAGAAAAACTTTTTTTTAAAGTTTAGTCGAATATTAAAAGACAAACATTAAGGTAAAATATTAAAATTGACATTAAAATAGTCGGTAGACTTACACTTCAAACTGTTTATTATAATTTTACTTTATATATTTAAACTCTGTAGAAAAATTTCAAGTTGCTACGGGGAGTTCTTAATCATGTTCACAAGAATTTGACTTAATCTCATTGACTTAAATCTCAAAAGTTCTCATGTTTGTAATTTCATCCTAGACTTTTAAAATTATACAAGAATAAAAAATAATTAGTTTTTTAAAATTCAAAACGTAAAAGCATACCTTGAAAATAGCAATACTCATAAAGTTTGCAGATAATTTTGTGTTTTTAATTTTAAAAAAAAAAAACTTTTTCATTCACGGATTTTCTAGAGACATTGAATTTTAAGGAGTACTAAAACCATTTTAACTGTAACACTTTTTCAACAATTTTTTAACATGGTAACTCAAAAATGAGCACCATGACTGTTTGAAAAATCAATTTTTAAAAAATAGAAACTCCTATTTTTTGCTTACGAAACTTAGTATTATTATCCCTAAGTTTCAAAAATTGTTACAAAGATTGTCAACAGATGGCAGTGATAACTAATGCTGCATTGCACACCATTCTAACTGAACTATTTGCTGGAGCATCTGTGAATTATTGTCTTCAGACTACGCCACGTTGTCACTACATCTTTTGAAAACATTATTTTACAATTTCAAACAGTTGACAACGAAAATGGTTGATGTAATTTTGAAACAAGCTTTGAAACTAATTTATTTTTGTTGGGATTTCTCAAGTGGAACGCATCAAATTGTACATTTCTCCAACCTTTTTTTTAATTGATTTTTTAAATTATCCATAATTTTTCAGGTACACATACCCAATAATGCGAGATAATCAATTTCTCCTGTAAATTGACTCATCAGTTACAAACATCTGTCAATATCTTTACCCATTTAATCTACACACATTTTTTTAAAAGGAATCATCATTCATTATCTATTTAAATCTGAGTTATCATAAAATAATTATACATAAAAAATGAAAATTTTATAAGGGTTAAGCTTGAGGAATGTGTTGAGTATTTTGAATTGAATAATAAAATTAGTTTGCTAAAAATGATGCAACTTGAAATTAAAATAACACTATCTAATGACTTATCTTTATTATCACCATTGGTCTTAGTACTAGAAAACAGAAACTGTAGAATCTTAAATAATTTTCAAATGCATATCTCTCACTTAAGTTTTATTTTATTTACTCGTATCGAGCTATATAAATTTATTTTCTGCCAAATATCGATTCTCTCCGATGAATATCATCGTGTCACATATTCATAGAAATTAGTTGAAAATTTCAATCAACATCTAAATATAAAACTTTCAATATTTTCAATTTACACCGGCAAATGGCTACACTGACATATGCTTATCGGCAGTGAAGGTCAAAATATTAGAATGTACCAAATACTTGGTCTTTACGTACTTAACATGTGTCGACATTTACCAAATAATATCAACATATTGCAATCAGTTTTGTTCGCTGACATATTTGACATGTATTCGACATTCACTGAGAAAATTCTCCGTTTTAAATATTTCGTGGTACCATTAGTTTTTTTCTCTTTCGAATTCTGGTGTCTCTGCATTCTACAAGATTTAGATAACATTGAAGAACAATCGAATGGTATTTTAAGGAATGCTGATCATATTTTCAATAAAATTAAACACATAAATAAAGTCTATATCAGGAAAAGAGCTGAACTTTTTTCTGGATTTTTTAAAAGCATTTCTGATAATATTCTCTGAAATTCGAACATTCCGAGGAGTTATAGAGCCCTTTTTTAGTTGTGTCAATGTGCATACAAATATTAAAATTTCAATCGCATTTAGGGAAAAACATATTTTTTAAGCTTGTCCATTTTGTTTTTGTAAGATTATAAATAATCAAATCATATAATTATGAGATCTTAATTGGACAAAGTTGAAAAATACGACTGAAGTTTGCTATCTGCTACATGTTACTTAACTCACAGCGCGCAGTAGCATTTCGAATTTCCGGAAACCATTCTGGTGTATAATTTAGCACATTTTTAATTGCACAAAATGAAAATTATATTCTTGTAGAAGTACAACGTGCTAGAGTTCTCTTTTGACACAATCAATAATCCCTTGTAACATAAATCTAAATAAATAAAATTAAGTTAATGTCACATCTTCAGGCTGATCTAAAACGCCCATGTATCATAAAAGTGAGCATAAACCTTGAAGCTATGTATCACCATACTAACTACTTGACATCAATCGACATTGAATTAACCATGATTAAGGCAATATTGCCATTTAAAAAGAGACAACTCTAAACTTCAATATTCGTTTACAGTGTGGTCTGAATTTATATAAAGTAGATAAAAAAAAAGTGGCATGGATTGAAATCGATATTTTGTGCTCATATTTTTTGCACATTGATGGTAAACGTTATCTTTAAAACTTTGATGGAAGCTGAATATTTGATTGATAAAACCTAAAAATAAAACAAACGTGCTTTTTAAACATAAAAGAACTTACTATTCAACGGAACAAACAAAAAAATACATGAAGTTAAAAAATTTTTAAGCCAAAATTGGCTATTTGAACTTTGCTTGGGGTCACAGGTACTACTTTCAACAATATGCTTCAGTCTAGAAATCAACATTTACTATTAAAATAGTATACCTTCACAAATCGTCATGCAGTGCCCGTTTTATATGAGTTTTGAAGAATTCAAGACTTACATTCCAAGTAAAGGAGAGGGGGGCACATGTAAACAGGGGGCACATGTGAACATGGTATGTTTAACCAATATGATTTAAAATGAAAAATCTTGAAAAATTTTCCATTGATGGCAGTTCTAGTCCTACCTCTCTGCAAAACTTTCAGAACAATGAGCCATTTTGTTGTTCTATTCTGACAATTTCTTTGTATCAGCTGGTGTAGTATCACAGCTTTTATCACTCACTTCTTCAAGTGAAAACATAGTATAACTCAGCTAATAAGCTAAAATTAACTATTGGAGACCATTATATGAACATTCAGATAAGTTTATGAAAAAAAATTTTTGTATACTCAACTAAAAATTCTTTATTTTTCAAGTTAGGTTTAAAAATCAGGAAAAGAGCTGAACTTTTTTCTGATGGGCACTTGTGAACAAAGCATCTGGGGCATATGTGAACAGTTCACATGTGCCCCTGCATTGTATTAAGATTATTATCTTCATGATATTATAAGTTTAAAAATATGTATGCATTTAAAATTATTATTATTTAATTTTCCATAATTAATTAATTAATTGTTAATTTTTTTCTTTTAAAAATTTAGGCTTACTAATGGTCATTAGTAAATTAAAAATTTACTAATGGTCAGGCAGAAAATGTTGACAATGATCCATCAGTACTTGTCCTATACCAGAATCAATCCCACCATTTCCACGAGCCCAAGTAAGTAGCTTAAAGAAACGAAAACGCGAAAAGGAAAAATCACGCGTATTAACTGATACACCTGAGAAAGATAGAATTGCTAAAGCTAAAAATGAAAAGATATAAAAAAAATGAAGAAAAAAAAGCATGAAAATGTATCAGAGAAGAAAGAAAAAGGCCTATTACAACTCCTGGTGAACATGAAGTTGCGAAAAACCCAATTGACGAAAAAAACCCAATAAATGCAGATAAACAAATAAACCCAATAAATTCACATAGTAAGCTACAACCCCTTCAGTATAATGCGTATATATCTCTGTTATATTAAAGAATTTTTCTTTTAAATATGATGATTGCTTTGTGTTTTTAATCTTGTTCATATGTGCCCCAGGCATGTTCACATGTGCCGCCATAGGGGCACATGTGAACAATTGAAGTCATTTTTCTAAAATATCATAAAGTAAAGAAATAATTTATTGAAAAATCTCAAAAAATTCCATAAAACAAAGAAAAGACTATTTAAACATATGGACTTCTTTACTGGGAGAAATTGATGATATTTTTTGAAAATGAAGAAATAAAAAAATTTGTTCACATGTGCCCTCCTCTCCCCTACTAATTACAAATTATTAAAACTTTCTACTAACAGAATTTGAAACTGAGAAGTTTGCAAAAAGTGGAATATTATCTTCTGATTAAAGAATGAAACAATACGAAGATAACAATATCGTTTTGGGGATACAAGCAATATTTCACAAATTGAACTAAACTTTTCTTTTGAGTTCTTTTTTATTTAGTCAAATCATTATGGGTTTGAATAGCACTTTTTTTCCGAATATCATAACTGATAACACAAATTCGACTTAACATCATTAAAGTACTACGAAAAAAAATCTTACATTTAAAGTTTACCTCTTATTTTCATAAGACTTGAACAGCTTCTACTCTGATATTTTGCTGACGGCACACTGAGAAAAAAAAGTATGATCGTAACTACCAAAACATAGTAAATTTTAGCGTGTTTCTGGCTCTATGGTAACACCTTAAAGCTTGGTAATTTTACTGGTAATAATTTTCGTAGAATTGGTAACGCTACTGGGTTAACAATTTACACGTAAAATTGGTAATGAAATGGTAACGCTTTAGTATTGATTTTGGTAAAATTAACAATAAATATGGTTTTCTAATTTGTAATAAAATTTGGTAAATGTAAAATTTCGTAATTTTATCATGATACCTCGAAACATGGCATAAATTCGGTTACATTTATTTGTGATTTTTTTTATTTTTTACTAAATGTGTAGTAATAAGAATTATAATTTTGAAAACCAGAATTTCCAGTAACCGTTACCGTATGAACAGAAAAATTACCCAACAATGAATGTTTTAAATACCGTATATATATATATATATATATATTTTTTTTTTTTTAAATTTTTTTTTAGAATTACTTTATAGCAGCTGAAATGTACTGAATAAAACACTATATCTGATGTTTATATAGGTCATTCTCCTACTGCTGAAGCCATACGAAAAGCTAGTCTAAAACCTATGACTCAGTACCAGCCTCTGGGAGGATTCAAGCAGAAACTTTTATATTTGGCTGAGGTTTTAGGTTTTGCAGTGCACTTTACAGATTTCCCTAAAGTAAGTTCATTTAAAAGTCTCATAAATTTTGTTTTTAAATAATTTAGTGACATGAAAAAATAATCTAGCATTCCCAATTTTTTTTTTGGCCACAGTACACTAAATTATCAACC